GAGAGGGAGAGGGAGAGGGAGAGGGAGAGGGAGAGGGAGAGGGAGAGAAAGGGAGCTGAAGCTTTGGCAATGCCTTTCGAGATTTTATTTTTGGCGTTTTGGCGCTTCTGGAGGTGGCGGCTGTGCTGGGTGCCTGGGCACACTGGTGCTACCAGGACCATCTCGAGGAGGCTGCCTTTGGCGCCAACGACAGGTGGCCTCCATGGACTCTGCACTGACGGATCAAGATAAGTCGAGAAAGAAGAGATGCTGAGACCATGTCTACCTTTTTCAATTATTCAGTTTTCAGTTAGTCAATTATTCAATTTTTCAATATATATATAACTATAATGAGATACCATCGGACTGGACATCAAATCCTGTTGTCTAATGTCTAATGCAGAATAGGTATCCTGAGTAAGAAACATGCATTTAGTTTTCGTCATTTTCGAACATCCCCCAAGCCTTAAGCAACTCGGAGCCGAGTCCAGATTGGAATGTATATATACTCTGATTCAATCTGAATCTAACTCCTCCTTGTCATTTTGTTAAGCGCTATAGATAAATATATTTAGAAATAGTAGTAATAGCACAAAATACATACATGACATACATATATCATATATATATATATTCATTCTACCTATTCCTTCATGACATATGGCCAGCCTAAGCAAAACCTGGAACATTCTGGGTATTGGGCACTTGAACTTGCCAGCCGGTCCCAGCCGGCGTTTTCTTCTTCGAAGATTCTGGGAATGTCAAATATGGCTCCTTTTTGTTCTGAATCCAAATGACTGTGGGACATTGAACGGTGGGAGTGATGTGTTTTTGTGCTGGCTTTGTTCCACCACATTTTTGCCACAGGTTTCCTGTGGCCGTGCTCTTGCAGCACTTCAATCTTGGAACCTCGGTGGAGAAGTGGTCGAACTCGGCGGTGGGAATTTGTCCCTTCATTTTTCTTACTAGAAATAGAAACTTTAGCGGTGGCAGGTTAGTCAAGATCCAGATCTGAGATGTTCCTCTCCTTGGGATTCATGTGAAGTGCCCCATGCCATCTCAAGGATACTTCCTCTACGACACGGTGCATGTGGCTGTTCCTTGCCTTAACATTGAGCTGCTATAACCAAATTTGGAGTGATTGAGTTCCACAGGCAGTTCAGTCGCAAGACTGAATCCCACCCGTTAGTAGGAGACCATGGGAACATCAACTCCAACAATCTCCAGCAGTTTCAATCTGAAGACCATGCAATTCATGGATTCATCAACTTGAAGAGCAGTCCTCAGTCGTGTGTGTGTTTCAGCACTTGAGCGATCTGTTAGTAGGAGACCATCAGTTGTAGGCCAGTTCTAGCCTCGAGATGCGGCAGTGCCATATGACCAATGAACCTCCAGACCAATGAAGGACCAATGCCTCGTCCAATCTCCACAAGACCCTTGTCCAAAGCCTTTTTCGGAATGGAACGAAAGAGGAAAGGAATAACGATGCAATCCTCTACACAGCATTTTGGGGCCAGTGGTCAACTCAGCAGGGTGACCACCACCAGAAAGCGAGGTATGGTGGCGAGTCGCGAGGAGCGAAACCATCCCCCGCGTCCCTCCTGCATCTCTCGTTGACCTTGACCTTGCCAGCTTCGGCATGGGGAAGAGTTGGTGATACCGAAAGGTGATCTACCGTGCACCGGTGACTTGCACCCAACGGGTGACGAGTTGCACCACCACCGGGGGGAACCCATCCCGGGTGACGGTGTTCGTTCCGGAGACCGGCTAGAAACCGGCCGAACGGCGCGGATCGGATGGGTATCCGTGATTCGTGGCCAGAAAACAGGAGGAATTCCTATCAAAACTGGTCCTTTTTCCATGTCAGAGACTAAAAAGGATCTGCTTTTCTGGTCCACTGGTCCTCCCGCTGCATGGTCCGCGTGCTGTGATGGTCGCCAAGTACTTTGCTTTCTCCAGACCCTTTGTCAATGCATGCTGTGTGATGTAAAAGGTGCGAAAAGCACCATTTGCACATGTATTAGTATCTTGATTTCCTGGCCTGCCACGAACTCCTCTTTTCAAGCACCTGAAGACGCCAGACGCCGGACGCCGGGGCACGTGTGTCACCGGCGGGTCCGGTGGGTCATACGCACAAATCATAGCCACTTTTAGGGTCCAAACTCAGCGGTTTGGTAGGGCACCATTTTGCCAGATGAACTTAGATACCATTCTGCCTAGATCGGACTTAGTAACCTAGGCCCCTTTTTGGTGGGCCTTGTGCGATTTTTTTTCCAGGAGCCTGTTTTTCTGTTGACACAGGCAGTATGTATCATATACATATACATACTGTATATAATATAATATAATATAATATAATGTAATGTAATATTTTTTTTTTTCCATTTGCTTGTGGCTTTCCGAGTCGGGGGGGCCCCGGCGCAAGCCTTGTGAATTCACTGGGCTTTGAAAAACGTTAAAAAGGGTCACTTTCGCCTTTGGCGAATGGGAGCGTAGTCCGGTTGCATCTCCTGAACGGTGTCCTCTTGTTGACGGAGAGCAGTGACATAGGCTAGCAAGTCAGGGTCAGTCATCTGGCAGGGTTGAGACTTGCGTTTGCTGAGCCACTGATCCATGAAAATCTTGGCCAAAACCTGATTCAGGTAGGGGGAGTACTCTTTGGCCGAACTTGTGTGAAAAGCTCCCTGGTCGTCCTTACCAACCAAGCTCTTCAGCGTGGTCGGATCGACTTTCTTGGCATATGCTCTGAAGGTCTCTCGAGCTCGTGGAAGGTGAGCCACTAAGAAGGTCGTCGGTTTCCATGCCACACCTTCAAACTGGCCTTGATAGACGTTTTCCAGTGTGACAGCAGGGTGGAGTCGAAGCCATCTCATCACTGGAGTCTTCCAGATGCTCGGGAGATCGTGCCGCTTTGGGGCACGAGGATGCTCACAAATCACAGAAACACCAGCAAGAACCGCATGTAGAGCAAGGTGAATTGCTGTGAAAAGTAACTCATTGGCCACCAAAATTTGTTCTAACTCGGCCAAGGTCAAATTCGGTCTGACCCACGGCTGTTCGGGCAATCTGAGAACTCTAGGGTTACCCTCGAGGGCTCTGGCACTCGACCAGGACTCACAGGGAGGAGCCATCAAAATACCCAAAACTTTACCAGAACCAATCCAAGACTCAAATTTGCGTACATGAGCTTCTTGGCGCATGTCGTGATCCGCAGAAAGAGCCACGTCAATGAGCAGCGGATGACAAGTCACTCCATGTAAAAGGCCCCAGGCAATGAAGTGCTCGGCAAAGTCCCCTGGTCTGCGTCTGCCAGAGTATAGGTACAGCACCACTGGCTGTTCCTGCAATGGAGCGCAGGGAGCAGGAAGCCAAGCAACCGAAGTCAAGGCATCACGAAGGGTGCTCTGACCAACTTGAGTGGGTACATCGAAGTGTTGCGAAATGAGCCAGGCTTTGTAGCTGCGACGATCAGCATGAAAAATTCCTTGAGGAACATTGCAGGCTGGCACCCGGAAGCGCGACAACATATGTTGTTGAATATCAATCGCTGGATGGTCATAATATTGTCGCCAAAGTTCCAGGGCTGCGGCAACTCGTGGTAGCACAACATCGCAAGCCACGACAGAATCATCCCAGTCGATGCGATCGAAAGCATCCCAGAGTGCAAAAAACACTGGTTGAGCAAAAGTCACTGGCTGCAGGTACTCATACAGTGTAGCCTCCTCTGAATCGGCAGTACACAAACGAACAAAACCTGACACAAAGGTGCACAAAGCGGGTTCCCTGTCAGTGGCACAAAGGGTCAGGTCTGCATCGAGAAGTGCACCAGACTCATTAGCTTGCTGAAATCGCAGGTCTGCCAACAACCAAGGGTGTTGGGGCACAGGTCCAGCAAGACGTCGC